TTTGCAGACTTAGTGGTGAAGGTTGGGTGAAATAGATCAAATGAAGAGGCGCCAATGTTGAGGCAATTCCTATTGTGCATATTTGTTCTACCTCTTGAAAGGAAGTAGTAGAAATGTATGCAGGGACTGACCCAGGAAATCCGTCTTGGGGGGGTTCAAAATATTTTTTGGGGGGCAAAAATTATTTTTTGAGGGGCGAAAATTATTCTTCATGTATATATACCCTAGAATTTTTTTTGTTGGGGGGCGGTTGCCCCCCTTGGTCTGTATTACGGTCCGCCTCTAAATGTATGGATCTTCTACATCTACCGGCAGCAAAATTCTGAATTTTACATTCTATTATGAGACAACCATGTGTTGTCATTGTGGGATGAAAGCACCGTTGTGTACTGGAAGAAAGAGTGGGAAAATGTTTTATGGGGGTGTCCAAATTGGAAGGTAAATGTTGTATTTTGTTTAATTTTTTATCGTTAATTAATTTAGTTCATACTCGTGTAATTGAGAATAAGATTTATGTTTAAATGTTATATTAGTTTATGTTGTAATTTGTAATGACTGTTGGGCACTGTTTTTTATGATAGGTTGAAGGATGTGGTTATTTTGTGTGGAACTGTGGAAGGATGTAATGGATGCAAATAGAAATAGATCGGGTTCATGGTGAAGGAGTGGATGGAATTACAAAATCAAATGCAACATTCAGACCTTGCTCAACAGTTGGCTATTGTCCAGAAGGATGACACATGTGTTAGAGACCTACTTCTAAACAGTTCTGAGCCTGCTGAAGTGGCTGAACACATGATTGGAAAGAAGAACAAGAAGAAGAACAAGTTTAGGTCATTGGGACAATTTGATTTGGGTTTCACCTTAGGCTGTATTGTTATGCTGTATTTCAACGCAAACAATGGTTTATGCTCTTAGTGTGGGAGATCTCATATCAACAGTCAATTAACTAATATGCAATAATATGAAGAAATTGAGTAGAAGAAGAATAATTCATCAACAATCAATATCATATATTCATAATGATATAGCAATAGAGCATGATACACGAATAAATTGGGTAGAGTCTTAGGTTTGTTCGAACCTCTGCTTGTATTTATAGGAGAGATCGCGAGCATCCTAGCACGATTAGGAACAATGAACCTGTTCTTTTCACCTTATCTGAATGTTTCTGATATGAATTTATTAAGTTCTGATCTGATCTGAATTTTTCTGATCTAATCTGATCTGGATTTTTCTGATCTGATCTGATTTGAATATTTCTATAATTATAATTATAATTATTATTATTATTATTATTATAATTAAATATATCTATAATCATAGTCATAATTATAAAAAATTATAATTATAATCATAATTATAATTAAAATTAAAGTTATAATAATTATACCTATTACACTAATTATAATTATAGCTATAGTTATAATTTTAATTATATTTTTAATTATAATTATTTCTATAATTTTAATAATAATTATAATTACTCTGTATGATAATAAAAATAAATAATAATAATAATAATAATAATAATAATAATAATAATAACAATAATAACAATAATAATAACAATAATAATAATAATAACAATAATAATAATAATAATAATAATAATAATAATAATAATAATAATAATAATAATAATAATAATAATAATAATAATAATAATAATAATAATAATAATAATAATAATAATAATAATAATAATAATAATAATAATAATAATAATAATAATAATAATAATAATAATAATAATAATAATAATAATAATAATAATAATAATAATAATAATAATAATAATAATAATAATAATAATAATAATAATAATAATAATAATAATAATAATAATAATAATAATAATAATAATAATAATAATAATAATAATAATAATAATAATAATGATAATAATAATAATGATAATAATAATAATAATAATAATAATAATAATAATAATAATAATAATAATAATAATGATAATGACAATAATGACAATAATGACAATAATGACAATAATGACAATAATGACAATAATGACAATAATGACAATAATGACAATAATGACATAAGTTAGAAAATTAAATTAAGCATCACCCATACACATATTTGAACCACATATTTTACTAACATAAGTTAGAAAATTAAATTAAGCATCAACCATACTAACATTCACAAAACAAGAAAATGTATTACAAATTCATATATTTAAATTTAATCCAATGACAAATACAATTATAAAGTCGGAAAATCCATTTGGACTGATTTATAAAATGGTCATATTTTTAATAGAAATTCAAAAATAAGATATCTTATTAAATGGATTAGGAAAAAGTAATATTTCATTTATGCATAAAATTAACATCAACAAGCACACAAAATTGATAGGAAAAAGTGATAATTTCACATTCATCCTTACTAATTTCTACCACACAGACAAACAAATAAAATTATTGTGCAATGCATGAGTACACACTCGTTACTATAACATTCCATACTTCTTTAATTTTATTGAAAAATGTTATATTTGTATTTAATTATTTATTGTAAACCAAATTTTAAATACATTTTTTTGTTTGTTAAAATTGTACTTCATCCATTCTTTAATTGTTGCAACATTGTGATTTAGACACTATTCACACATCTTACTTTCGCCAATATTTTCTACTAATATATCTAATTAAATTATTATGCATAAAATGTTATCAAGTTTCTATTAATGTGAATTTTCAAAATATCAATGCTTTATAATGCTTACAGTAAAAGTTGTGCGTCGACAAATATGAGAGTCAAACTGTCGTAACTACTAAAGAAAGAAAAATAGTACTACCTCTGTCCCACTATTTTTTTTTAAAAAGTGAAATCGTGTAGTTGGTATCGAATTATTGATAAGTGTGAATAAAGTAAGAATGAATTGTAACCACCCAAATATTACCAAATATGGTATCTAACAAACTTAATGGGACAGATGAGAAAGGTAAAACGGGACAAAGTTAGGGGGACGGAAGGAGTATAATTTGAGTTTGCACCCCATTTTATTGTCCAAATTAGACTTTGCACCCCGTTTTTGAAATCATTAGTATTTGTACTCCAACCTCGTATGAAAAGACAAAAATGCCCCTCGATCAGAAATATGTTGAAGGCCAACAAAATTGTGAATGGAGGAACATTTTAGTATTTTCGTACGGGGTTGGAGTGCAAAGACTAAAGATTTCAAAAAAGGGGTGCAAAGTTTAATTTACACAATAAAATGTGATGCAAACTCAAAATATCCCTTTATTTTTTATAATGATTGGATTTTCTAGCCTTGCCCGTGTTTAGGGATGGCAACGGGGCGGGTTTGGGACGGGGGTTCACTCCCCCATTCCCCGCCCCATGTCTAAAAAGCTTCCCCCATCCCCACCCCATCCCCCGCTACTCCTAGACCCCGCCCATCCCCGCCCCACCCCGGTGTCCCCCACGGGTGCTCGCGGGTGCCCCCATATAGATTTTATTTACTTCCCCCGTCCCATTTAGAGGTTCCCACGCGGTTTATTACGATGTTTGACTGACCATAAAGTTAACTGATCCCTGTCATTAGTAGAATTATTTTTAGTGAATAAAATTTACATATTCAGAAACAACATTAAAAGTTCTATAATACCTGATAAAAAAAATTTAATTTGATAAATGTTAGATATATACAGTAAAAGATTAAGAACAATGCAGTTGATCGGAGAATAGTGGACGTGAACCTTTAAATGGGACAAAGGGGGTATCTTATTTGCATATTTTTTAACCCATTTTAAAGATAAATATAAATATATATAGCACTAAAAGAAGTAAATAAGCTAGATAAAATGGTGTTTGATAAAAGTTAATTCCGCCAATTTTTGATAATTCTTTAATTTGAATAAGAAAATTAAAAATATAAGTAAACATATTATCATCATGTATGTCGTTACAAATTTCTCATCAATTAGAATACAATTAATTATATATGGAGTATATTATACTTAAATATGCATATGTGTTCTATTATTAACTCACTTTCTCACTTTTAAAACTCATACGGAGTATAACATTTATGACAAGTATTTTTAGTTATTACGTATTATTATGATGATATAATATTTATTAATTCATTAATCATGACTAATACACAGTTACACACATATTTACATTTATATATATCTATATCTATGTGCATGTGTTTGTTATATACTCCGTACTACATACTCTATAATTTACTTAAATAAGGTTATACATTATTTAAATGTGTATGTTTGTATATATATGTATGTTTGAGTTTATATATATAACGGGGACAGGGCGGGTGTAGCAAAACCCTCCCCCGCCCCATATTTTAACGGGTATAAATATCCCACCCATCCCCGTCCCCACCCCGCCCCAAACCCCACCCCATGCTCCCCCCATGGGGCGGTTTCCCACGGGCCCCCTACCCCCATTGCCATCCTTAGAGCATCTCCAATGGGGATGTCTATTGTCTTACACACTCTTACGAATGGATCTCATTTTTTATCTCACAATTTTTATGTGTAGGACCTACATATCTCCATATTTATTTTCATTTTCATTTTATTATATCACTTCTAACCCACTTTTCATTCACTTTTGCTCCTCGATTCTCGTGCAATGTCTATTTGTGGACATTGTCATAGTTATTGTCTACAATTTACTCATATCTCTCTCTTCCTTTTAATTTTTCTATACACATCACTTTCTCCATATTAAATTAAAATAATCATCATATCTCTATCTCTCTCCTATGCCACGTAGGATAGACTTTACTCCAATTCACTACCCCATTGGAGATGCTCTTAACCCAGGTTGATCCATCGGGTTCGGATTGATTAGACGCAGTAATTTGTAGGGTTGTTTCATGGTCCAGTTTTTAAAAACACAGCAAAAATGCAAAAAAAAAAAATGTAGAAATAGAAAAATTCAACATACCGGGTTAGACTGGTCTTTATACAATCTGTTGAGGTGGGATCTAGCGATTGGTTGGGACACGCACTCTCTCAGCTCCACAGCATCGCATCTTTTTTGCAGTTATTTTACGGCATAAATATGATCCATATATGCTTTTCTCGCGTTCTTCGGGATCAGTCATATAACACTCTTCTAACGGAGCAAGCATCAAAGTAATTTGGAAGGTACGAATGGAACGATCAGCTTGGTTTTTGCCACTGCCATTGCTGTTAGCATCACTAATCACAACAGCTAACGCTCTATACGGCGCCTCATCTCCCGTCGTTCAGTTGAGCCCTTCGAATTTCAAGTCCAAGGTACCTATTTCATTTCGATTTCATCATGTATTGTACATTTAGTTACGCAGTTCTGTTTCGATCTCCCGTTTTATTTTCCAGTCCAATTTAATAGAAATGGGTGTTCTGCATTCCTTTCCTACTGCCTTCAGGTGCTGAATTCGAATGGCGTAGTGTTTGTAGAGTTCTTTGCCCCCTGGTGCGGTCACTGTCAGGCTCTAACACCCACGTACGAGAAGGTCGCCTCTGTCTTGAAAGGCGTAGTCACTGTCGCGGCACTCGATGCCGATGCTCACAAGTCCCTTGCTCAGGTCATTTTCCCAATTCCCTTCTCCATCCTTACTTCCAATTTCTATTTATCATTGAGCATCCCAATCGGTTTTAAATTATATCAGCGTTTACAGGTCAAGACGAGGGAATTCAGATGTTCGGACTGCTAGTAAAAAAGATAACTGGGGTGACAAACATATGTATAGTGTTGAACCAATAAAATTTGCAGTATTATAAACTCTAGAATTTCAGTTTCCTTGGCTGAAAGTAAGAAGATCAATGAGATAACAACTTTATTACTAATTTCTTAAAATTTAAAACCATTTAACAGTGGAACAACTTATATGCCATGAGTAAGCTCTGGGAAATATACTAAAAGATACTCGGAAGCATTGATGGAGTATGAGAAACTATTAAATCTGATAAGAGAAATACTAGTTGCATGCATTTTCTTCAGCAGTAATCCCAATCTTGAGAGAAATAGATCTGGATTATGCTGAGATGAAGCACAATGATGGTATTATATGATTGTTACTAATGTGTTGCTCTCTTCCTTTAGGAATATGGCATTAAGGGGTTTCCTACGATTAAGGTTTTTGTAGCGGGAAAACAGCCTGTTGATTATCAAGGAGCAAGAGAGGTAAAACCCATGGTTGATTTCGCGAAGGCACAGGTAAATGCTGATTTCTGTAATTTAATTGCAAAGCAATGATCATTTCCCTGTTTACTGTCTCCATTAGTATTATCTCAAAGAAATGGAGTAAAGACATATGTTGGTAAAGGGGGGCAGGGGCAGCCAGGTGCACATTGCTGTCCCCGCAGAGCGAGAGTGAGAATCCATGGAAGAGTCCCACCGCAAGGATGTATACGAAGCAAGTCTTCCCTTGTCATTTTAAAAAGTGGTCGCTCCCAAGTTTTGAACCCGTGACCTCTCAGTCACACAAAAATACCGTAAGCCGTGTGCCAAAACTTCCCTTCTAATGACATACTCCCTCCGTCCCGAAAAGGTTCGCAAACTTTGACTTTCACGTGGATTAATAAAGTAAAAACTGTGTGGTTGAAATTTGTGCAGAGGAGAGAGAATTAACTTTAGCCACATATTCCTTACTTTAAATGGAAATGGCAAATCTTTTTGGGACATCCAAAAAAAGAAATTTGGCAAACCTTTTCGGGACGGAGGGAGTATATTGGTATTTAGGATTAATTTATAGAAAAAAAATTTAATTTTGTTTTGAATGGGTTGTTTGGGTGTTTGTGGTTACTAAAATAAAGATCCAAGTAGCCACTCTAAGTGCATGTTCAGTAGGCATAAGTCCCTACCTTTTAACTTTTGTACTATTTAGAAAGTCCGTAAAATTTTCTAGTTGTATGTTTGGCACGACAATTTTTTAGACCTTTTTTTTCAAAAAAGTTTTTGAGAATGCACCCTTAGTAGCATCTGAAAAAAGTATGTAGATTTTAGCATTAACCAGTCACAACAACTTGTATACCCAACATAACTGAATCAAACAGTCAACTTTTTATCAAACAGCTATCTCCTTTTTCTTTTAAGATCTTTTTACTCATTTAAAGCTAATTGTTACTAATTGTTACTAAAAAGCTCACAAAAGTATCTTTCCAGCTAGTTGTGCCAAACATACCCTAAATGTTAGTCAAAGTAAAGTGGTATCATGTATGGTCATTTAAGCTTGGGGGTGAAATTTGGTTGTGTTCACCAAGAGATAAAGTGAAATTCAAAGTTGTCGTGATTCGATTCGCACCCTTTATATAGAAGATTAGTTGGGTGTTTGTACATAGATTTTCGTCCTATGAAGAATTAAGTGGAACAACCTATCATGTACACATCACACATGTTAGAATCTCCGATCTATAGATTTTGTACAATATCAACTGACGTTACATCAAAGTTTCATATGGTCCTTCTTTATCAGGAGTAATTGTTAAGATCTGGGGTTCCATCCTAAAAGGTCAACCTGATAGGAGGAGTAACCTACATCTTAATATAGCACTTTGTTCATTCAAAATTTTTCGGTGTGGGATTTTTAACACCCCTCCTCACGACCAGACAATTCGTCTGTATCGTACCGTCATTCATTTTTTTGTCGGTTCGTCATTGTCATTTTTTCATAATCGTGTCGTCATTTATCATAAGGGGACCCACACCGTGGATCGATTTGGCTCTGATACCATGATAAGATCTGGGGTTCCATCCTAAAAGGTCAACCTGATAGGAGGAGTAACCCACATCTTAATATAACACTTTGTTCATTCAAAGTTTTTCGGTGTGGGATTTTTAACAGTAATGTCTTTGTTTATTTAGACCAAATGGATTGTTTTGGTTCTCATTCCATTATGTTTCCTTAGATATACGACCTACTTTTCATATTACTTGTCCCACATTCCTTTTTGGGGTGTTCCAAATTACTTGTCACACCTCTTTTTTGGAAATTGATTTACCTCCAAAAGTTGCTATAGGCTACAGCACACTTATAAAAGTGTACAGTAGTGGTACATTATAAAAAGCCACCGTTTCTCCATCTACAGATGCTATTAAGTTATGGGGAAACCCCTACTGGGACAACTAATATGAAATGGAGTATGTTTTTTTTATCCATTTTGTAAATTTATTATGATTTATTATGATATTATTGAAATACGGAATATTTAACTTCCAAAGAAGGTTATTTACATTCTATCATAGTACTACTGCTGGAACAAAAAATCTTATGAAAGTTTTTGTTTATGAATACAACATCAACAACATCTAAGCCTTATTCCCATAAGAGTTTGGGGTTGACATATGATATCAGAAAAAAAAACAATAAATAGAGAAACAGAGAGACAAACAATTTAGATCAGTTTTATAAATACAACAACATCCAAGCCTTAATCCCAAAAGAATCTGGGGTTGACTAACATGAATCGATCCATGATATTGGATCAGTTTTATAAATAAATTGTTCAACTCTATATTATCTAATGAAGAGTCGCACAGTCTCGATTTTGTCTTATTTATGAAGTTATTGTATTTTCTCCTGCCTAGCCTATGCTTTCTCCCTTTCCCAAACTCTTAATGAATGGCATCATTGAGAATTGAGAGTAGACATGAAATTTATGATTGAAATTATGCATTATGGTTCTTGCATAGTTAAAAAGAAGTTGTATAAATTATAAAAAGCTGTTTGTCCTTGGTATCATAACTAGTAAATAGCTGATTATTAATATCAATGTATAGAAGTAATAAACAGATCTACTAATCTACCTTAAATGTAGCAGCATTATATATTTAGATTTTAGAGTGATCAATTTTTTCGGTTAGTTCAAAGTCATGATTATGGAAAGGTTGCTTGTATACACCAGTTCCCTAGACCTTTTATGGTCTTGAGGAATAAGCACATATTGGTATATATACTGCCAGAATATAAAAAACACTGCACTTTTTATGTATAATTTTGGCGCAGTGTGTACATAATCTACATAATCTACACTTCATGAGCAACATGCTCACAAACTTACTTCCCGATCGGATTTTGAGCTGAAACTCTGTGTACATAATCTACACTTCATGAGCAACATGCTCACAAACTTTCATAAAAAACTCCACCGGGAACCACCTCAAATGGCGGCCAGACGGGGTTCCGGTCAGGAAGGCCTAACCTGATCATTACTCTCTCTCTCTCTCTCTCTCTCTCTCTCTCTCTATATATATATATATATATATATATATATATATATATATATATTGAGAAATTTTCTGCCATCCACTTTTACTCCTTTACGGTACGCTATTGCACGCAGCATGCTGCAAGTCCACTTTTTGCAAATAAGATTTTTATTTATTTATTTATGAAAGTGCCACCGTGTTTAGACCTATTTAGAGGCATTACATCCTAAATACGATGTTCCTTTCATGGGAATGACGATTTTGTATTTGATCCTAGACAGACACACACACACATATCAATACCTATGAGAAACGGTGATTATAATGAATTTGCTGTGTGCAGATTAGGGAGTTGTTGAAGGATCGGTTAGATGGAAAAACAGCAGGAGGGTCATCTCAAAAGTCTGAACCTAGTGCATCAATTGAGTTGAACTCAAAAAACTTTGATGATTTGGTGCTTAAAAGCAAAGAACTATGGATTGTGGAGTTCTTTGCACCATGGTAATCTGCCACCTTTATGATTTCAGCGTATCAATGCTTCACCTGCTTTATCATGTGATCCATATTTCTGTATTGCTGTCTAAGTATTCTTTACTGAACCCATTGAGACCGCTTAGCCCATCTCATTGTGATATCACCTCATTCAAATTCCACAAGTCAAATTAGCAATGTCTAAGAATGTGAAAAATGCTGTCTGTAGGTGAGGCAAAATTTGTTAGGAACCAGAGTGGAAGAGATGAAAATTGACGTAGAATTGATAAACGGAAAAGAGAAAGATAAACTAGAGACTGTTCGAGTCGTCTCAACACTCCCAGTCCTAAATCCCGATCCAAATTCTGCCTGCCTAACTCCTCACCCCCTCTCCCTTATTTATTCTATTTCTAATGGGCCAGCCCACTTCTATTAAATTAGAGGGCCTAAAACCCTATTATTGAACAGCATTAAAATACTTAATAATCTCTTATTCTTTGTAATGCCTGGGTCCCTATCATCACTCCCCCCTTTGACAACCACCTTGTCCTCAAGGTGGGAGTAAGAATATAGCGATGCTGTTCAGCTTCATTCTCGCGCCTCTTCCTTCCCAATACTTCAGCTTGATTACATGAAGTGGGAAAACCTTCCCATTTGGATTGAGAGCTTCAGCCATCAGACAGTCACAATGATTGGTGTCGGTAGTAGCTTGCTCAAGGTTGTTTGCAGGAGAAAATGATGGATATGCATAACTCTCATTCTGTTCTTGATTACCCTTAGTCATCCTCTTATTTAATTCTTTATTTTCTGTTGCATGCGAAAGACTATCACCATTTTTCCTCCTATAAAGCTTCTCTTCACTTCCAACAGTTCTTTCAAGGTGATAAACAATATCAACCTCTATTTCCTGAACTGCCTCATACTTTCCATTCACTCCCGATGAAACTCGATGCAGACTTTTATTTAGGTTTTGCCAACTAACTTCGTCTGAGGTATCCTTTGCACAAAAGATGGATATTTTGAAGGCATTCTCTTTCCCTTGTCTAAGGACTCTATCTTCAGCTGGTAGTATGCATGCAGGTTCCCTTGGCAGATCCAAAATGACAACATATCGCATTTCCGGAGATTCCACACCTACGTGCTGTGATCCACTTTTTATTTCACAATTCACAAGAGAACCGTCTTTTACTACAAGTTCAGCATCTACTTTTTGACTAGAAACCATGTGAATCCCGTACCGTTTCTGAACAATTGATAGTGGTATAACCTCGTTGGTAGAAACCTTTATATTAGTACAGCTTTCATCCCAGCACCCTCTGCAATCCCCAGCAAGTGCACCTACAGAGTTCGTGAAGGAGTGATAAGCACAATTTGATATGAACAGGTAAATCTCCCTTCCTGGGCGTATGTGGCTTCTTTCCCAGGATATCTCCCGTTCTTTTGGTGGTACCTGCGAACGGATGGTTTCTCCCCTGCATATCATTGTACTAGTGTTCACACACGGATGCCCATGCCTAGGGTCTGATCCTTCCATTGCATTAGTTTGTGGATCATCCTCCACCAATTTCTTTGCTAAGGCACCCCAGAACAATACCACACCTTCACCGCCTAGAGCGTGGTCATTACTATCAACATAAGTAGCACACTTCTTCATCCACCTTCTTGTAGTAAGTGTGTTAACACCGTCTTCCATTTTCCCGTCCTTATCTCTTTCCTTGAGAATTTCAATCCATTTATCAGCAATTGCAATATGGAGCAAACCACCAAACCCTATGCCCCCATCTGTCAGTACACAAGCTGCTGGTATTCCCAGAACATTTTCACCAACGGTTAATGCATCTGTGAAGAAACCAGGAATGAGATACTGATTCTGCTCTTCAGGGAATCCTGAGCTAAAAAAAACTTCAACTCCCTTTGACACTTCCCCCATTGACCTATGATTGCCAGTAACGCCATTTTCACAAGGGCCACCTATAACACCCACTGACATCCGCTTGGTCTCCAGAGAAGATTTATCATCTTCTCTAACGGAATTTCGCTCTAGATTAACAACCCTCTGAACATCCTCAGCACTGTTAGGACCCAACTGGACTCTCTCCTCTTCTACCTTTTCTCTGGGGCGCGAAAAAAAAACACCTCCAGGGACAGGTTGTCGCTGATTATCGGACTCCTGAGGGGACGTTGAAGCTTGCAAAGTGTAGGAATCCGCTTGCGATGGAGAATGAGAACAGGAAGATACTGTATGGAGCGTAGATGGCGAACTGGAAGAAACTTCTGGCGACAGCGAACTGGTGAGAGATGAAACCTGCGAACTAGGAGAAACAGGTTGCTCCAGAGTCTGCGATGACGAATAACCTCTGTGTTTCGAATTCTCGCACCGTCGCACTGTTCGCGATCGTCCTCGCCGTCGACGTTTGCCATTCTCCAGGTTTGCACCCTTCCCCACTTTTCCGCGCGAGGCATTTTGATCGGTTTTTCGATGGGGTTCCTTTCCCTTTTGCGTAGACACACGCTTCTCAATTGTCACGTACAAACCAGAGATGACCACTTTCCGTTTTGACCTTTGATAATCCCTGCGTTGCTCCATTTTTTTTACCGCGTGACTTAGATCGAAGCTTCCCAGAGCGGACTTCTCTGATACCAATGTTAGGAACCAGAGTGGAAGAGATGAAAATTGACGTAGAATTGATAAACGGAAAAGAGAAAGATAAACTAGAGACTGTTCGAGTCGTCTCAACACTCCCAGTCCTAAATCCCGATCCAAATTCTGCCTGCCTAACTCCTCACCCCCTCTCCCTTATTTATTCTATTTCTAATGGGCCAGCCCACTTCTATTAAATTAGAGGGCCTAA